GCCTGTTTCAGCTTCTGTGTCTCCCTCACTCTCTGACCCTCCCCCACTCATGCTTCGTCTCTCTCTGTCTCAAAAATAAACTATTAAAAACTGTAGAAAGGAATCTGTTGAAGTGATTTGAATCTACAGTCTAATTGTTGGCATTTTAATCCGGATTATTACTAATGATTGCTACTTAATTATTTTACAGCAATTGGGCATTGCAATGCTCATAATCTAGTGGTCCTTATAGTGCTTATAGGAATACATGGGTCAAACCTGTTCTTTCACACCTGCTGAATCTGCCTCACCATCAACCTGTTCCTCATTGTTTGACCCCTCCTCTTCACCCAGGGTTGGCAGGCTGGCTGCCAGAGCCCCTCAGGTGACCTGAGAGTTCATCGCCTCCAAAGATGAGTCATGTGGGCGGAGTGGCATCATTTGGGCAGAGATAGAACTTGGCTTTCTTAGTACTTTTCTGTCTTGAAGTATCTACTAATGGTTGCCAGGATGAACTCCTCAGAACTCTCCACCTGGGCCTCCTTTTCCTTTTTCTCATGGAATTGATGAATCAAGGATTGATGAATTAACTGGGTAGGCGTGTGTCCGTGATGTCTCCCTATGGTTTGCTTTATAAAACTACATGGATAGAAAAAACCAAGGTTGGATTGTCTCCTTTGGAGAAGCTTAACAATGGAGATGGATCCCTAAACCAGAGTTACCCATTTAGAGCCACTGGCTGCCTATTGGTCATGGTAGCTGCCAACAGATTAAGAAAGAGGCCAGGGTGGGTGAGTGGCTACATGTGCATCAGGGGGACAAGGCTTCCCTGTGAGCCTGCCTTACCTAAAATAGGTTGAAAGGTGAACTGAAGTTTTCAAGGAACATTTTCGAGGCAATGCCATTTCAATAGATAAATGATGGCATCTATAGTTCCTTGGTCCTCTTAGGAAGGCAAATTCTGCAGGTTTTTGTTAAATATTTTCTAATTAAGCTTTGCCAATATTCTGAGCTTTTCGGTTATTATGGATTATCCAATTTTTATTTATTTTATTATTTTTTAAATTTATATCCAAGTTAGCATATGGGGCAATACTGATTTCAGAAGTAGAATTCAGTGACTCATCCCCTGCATGTAACACCCAGTGCTCATCCTAACAAGTGTCCTCCCTAATGGCCCTTGTCCATTTAGCCCATCCCCCCCACCCCAAATCCCTTCAGCAACGCTCAGTTTGTTCTTTGTATCTAAGAGTCTCTTATGTTTTGTCCCCCTCCCTATTTATATAGTGCTCCCTTCCCTTATGTCAACCTGTTTTATATCCTAAATTCCACATATGAGTGAAGTCATATATTTGTCTTTCTCTGACTGACTTATTTCACTTAGCATAATACACTCTAGTTCCATCCACGTTGTTGCAAAGGGTAAGATTTCATTCTTTTTGATTGCTGAGTAATATTCCAGTGTGTGTGTGTGTGTGTGTGTGTGTGTGTACCACATCTTCTTTATCCATTCATCAGTCAGTGGATATTTGGGCTCTTTCCATTCTTTGGCTATTGTTGATAGCAGTGCTATAAGCATTGGGGTGCATGTGCCCCTTCAAAACAGCACTCCTGTATCCCTTGGATAAATACCTAGTAGTGCAATTGCTGGGACATAGGGTAGTTCAATTTTTAATTTTTTGAGGAACCTCCACACTGTTTTCCAGAGTGACTGCACCAGTTTGCATTCCCACCAGCGGTGCAAAAGCCTTCCTCTTTCTCTTCATCTTCGTCAACATCTGTTGTTGCCTGAGTTGTTAATTTTAGCCATTCTGACAGGTGTGAGGTGGTATCTCATTGTGGTTTTGATTTGTATTTCCCTGATGCTGAATGATGTTGAGATGTTGAGCATTTTTTCATGTCTATTAATGGCTTATTCCATTTTCAGAGATTTCTTAATCAACAGAATCTCACACAATGATACTTTCTAACAATTGGATGAGGGGGCTCGGTAAAGCCTCCTACCAAACTCTTTAGAGTAAGTTGGCTGATAAAAGGTAGGATGCCAGAGGCCAGGGGGTGTATGCCTACTGGGGGCTGTTTCTTTTTTTTTTTTTTAAGTTTTTTTTTTAAATATTTTTATTTATTTCTAGGAGAGAGAGAGAGAGAGACAGAGTGAGCAGGGGAGGGTCAGAGAGAGAGGGAGATACAGACTCTGAAATAGGCTCCAGGCTCTGGGCTGGCAGTCAGCACAGAGCCCGACGCGGGGCTCGAACCCACCAACCGCGAGATCATGACCTAAGCGAAAGTCGGACGCTCAACCGACTAAGCCACCCAGGCGCCCCTGGGGGCTGTTTCTATGGGTTACTTAGCTCTAGTACTTGGCCCTGAGACTCTAATTCACTTGTCCAGGATACTGCCTTCAGGACTGCAGGTCCTGGCCCTTCCCTTACATTTGTAGAGGATAAGCATGATTTGTCAAAACACTATTCTGGTTGGGCCTATAAATAGGACAAAATGAGACAGAAAGCAGGGGTGGCCTGGAGGCCACTTCTAGATCAAACAAAAGAAGAAATATGTCATGTCTAGTTCTGGAAGCAAGGTCAGAGCCATGAAATTAATAATGACAGAGGTGAATATGTCAAAGGGAATTTGGGAGACAATAGGCAGGGTCTTGGGAGTGACAATCAGTGACTGAAGGAAAGGGAAGCTAAAGTTGCCAAATGTTGAGGGGGCAGCTGAGGCAGGAGTCAGGAACTCTAAAATTAGGTCCTAACAAAGGAAATGAGGATTGGAAGAAGATACATTCTCTGTTCTCTGCTCTTGGATCCCAGGATCTCCTCTGTGTAGACGGATGGCTCCCGAGTCTACTACATCTCTGGCTCTGACTTTTTTCCTTAGAGTAATTCCTTCAAATCACATTGTACTTTATACTGTGCAATATAAATGAAAACATTTCTGTAAGATGCAAACAGAAAGGGAAGGAAGTAGATGTCCTGGTTTTAACCAGTCAGAGGAGCAGAAACCTGGCTGGTTAAGACCACTACAAATTCATGCCATGTTCAAGGCCCTCACTGCTTGTTGTGTTATGTTCTCTGTGTGCAGATTGGGCTGTTTGTTTGCTGTTAGTGAGTGATATTGACATACCTTTCTTTTCTTTCTTTTTTTTTAAGCTTATTTATTTATTTTTAGAGAGAGAGGGAGGGAGGGAGAGTGAGCATGAGTAGGTAGGGGCAGAGAGAGTGGGAGAGAGAATTTCAAGCAGGCTCCACGCTGACACAGCGCAGAGCCTGACACAGGGCTCGAACTCACGAACTGTGAGATCATGTATGACCTGAGCCGAAATCAAGAATCAGAGGCTTAACCAAATGGGCCACCCAGGTGCCCCAACACAACTTTCTAAGTGATCTGTAACTTCTTTTTTTTTTTTTATTTATTTATTTCTAGGAGAGAGAGAGAGAGAGACAGTGTGAGCAGGGGAGGGTCAGAGAGAGAGGGAGTGACAGACTGAAACAGGCTCCAGGCTCTGAGCTGGCAGTCAGCACAGAGCCCGATGCGAGGCTCGAACCCACGAACCGCTAGATCATGACCTAAGCGAAAGTCGGCCGCTTAACCGACTAAGCCACCCAGGCGCCCCTAAGTGATCTCTAACTTCTAACTGCCTAATTTTTGTCAGGTTTTAAAGATTAGAAGCTTACTTGCAATTTTAAATTTTGGAAAGAACGAAAATGGCTAGTTTGGGAAGCTTAGATGCTGTACAATGCTTCCCATGGTGCAACAGATGAAGTAGATGATTTTAAGCAGGACACAAACATTTTGTATGTATTTCTTTTAGTGACTATGAGAATAAAATATAATTAATACACTAAACTCAATTTTCACCAATGTTACTGATTAGAAAGAAGGTAAGTTTTTAAAGTAAGCTGAGTTAAAATTGACACCTAATATAATTGTAATTATATAACTGGCCAGGTGGCCCACAGATGCACTGTGAAAGCGACCGTTACATGACTGTGGCTTCTCTACCACTTGGAGGTCTTGACATCTTTCTCTTGGGGTATTTTAAGTCCCAACAGAGGAAGAAACAGAGACAATTATTTAGGATTTGCCAAGAAAAGGGAACCAGACCCTCAATGTTGTAATAGAATAGGGCTTACTTCTTGTTTTTGGTCTCTTTGTAGGACATGTTTCATGGGTCAATTTTGTACTTAACAAGTATCAAGTCTCAGCCAGATTTTCAGTTTATTAACATATTCCGAGATAATATCAGCCTTTCCATTTTGAGACCAAATTTTTCAAATTACTTATGGATCAGGATGAGTCTCTGGTTCATGTAACAAAGCAACACAATTATATGATTTAGAGGGTGTTTTTTTGTTGTTTTTTTTTAAACTAATCTCTACACCCAACATGGGACTAGAACTCACAACCCCAAGATCAAGAGTCCCATGCTCTACTGACTGAGCCAGCCAGGCATCCCTGACTTTGGTTTCTGTTTTTGTTGTTTTTGTCTTGCTGAACTCACAGTCCAGGCTCAAGTGGACCAACTGGACACTCAATGTTTAGGTGTCCATGTGTATACCATTTGTCATTTGGTTCATAGTACCTAATGTTGTTATCTATCCCCTTACCTATATAACTTTGTTTCCACTCCTTAAGTGTAAGCCCTAAGGGAAGAAACCATGTCTTAGTCTCTCTTTCTTTTGGAGTGGGGAGGGACTTCAGTACCAGTATAATAGCTTGTTAAAGTAGGTGTTGGGGCACCTCGGTGGGTCAGTTGGTTAAGCTTCTGACTTCAGTTCAGGTCATGATCTCACGGGGGTTTGTGCCCCGTGTCGGCCTCTGTGTTGACAGCTCAGAGCCTGGAGCCTGCTTTGGATTCTGTGTCAGCACAGAGCTGTCAGCACGGGCTCGAACCCACGAACTGTGAGATCATGACCTGAGCCAAAGTCAGACACTTAACCAACTGAGCCACCCAGGCGCCCCCAGTGCTTTTTAAACTCTATTTCATGGATGTATAAGATGAAGGCTGGGGAAAGATATCAGTTCAATGTATGCTTTCTCTTTGCTAATAGAAAAAGCAAAATACAATACACCATGGGAAAGACACTGTTGTAAGAATTACACAGCAGCCAGAGAGAGGAGAGGCTCCTGACCTCCACGGCCAGCATTATATAGGCAATGATGAGCTGGGTGTGGGCCCAGGTGACAGTTCTATAGAGCAGCTGCATTGGCCAGGATCTGATAGACAAGTTGGCAAAGGTGTGGATCAGGTAATCAGCTTCCACCATCAGAGCCCAGCAGAGGAAACCAAACACCTGTCCTGGGTGGAGTCCATGCCACCAGGCGGAGAAGGCGAACGTCTGCAGCAACGGGCGGGCCCCGCCCCGCTGGAATATGAGGCGTCGGAGCCACCCAGCTGTGCTTTGGTTCCACTTTCTTGTGAACAGGGATATCCTGTGGGTTGTTTCCAGTGTCCAAATGTCCGCATCGGGGACGTATCCCCCCGCAGCAGGGCTCTGACCAAGTTCAGGTCCAAAGCCTGCTGCATGGAGGAGGGCATCATCCAGGAGCCAGCAGGAGTAGTAGGTGAGTTTGAAGAGCCCGGCCGTGGACCACATGACACAGATGCACTGGAGCTGCCGGCAGTCAGTCAGACCCGCTCCTGCACCCACCACCATCCTCAGGACCACTTTTAGGCACTCGAGGCCCAGGATCTGCAGACCCCTCCAGGTCAGAGCCCAGACAGAGCGCCTGAGACCCACACTGCTCGGCCCTTGAACACGAGCTTGAAATCTCTGGAAGGAACACAGGGAGCCTCCTAGGAGAGCAGGGAAAAAGAGCAAGTAGCTGAAATAGGGCAGTGTCTTCCACAGATGCTCAGGAACGGAGCTTCTGCCCCTGATGCCTCTTGATGCTGCCTTCACTTTTCCCTCACAAATGTCCAGAGAGAGGGATGTGACCCTCTNAGACTCTGAAATAGGCTCCAGGCTCTGGGCTGGCAGTCAGCACAGAGCCCGACGCGGGGCTCGAACCCACCAACCGCGAGATCATGACCTAAGCGAAAGTCGGACGCTCAACCGACTAAGCCACCCAGGCGCCCCTGGGGGCTGTTTCTATGGGTTACTTAGCTCTAGTACTTGGCCCTGAGACTCTAATTCACTTGTCCAGGATACTGCCTTCAGGACTGCAGGTCCTGGCCCTTCCCTTACATTTGTAGAGGATAAGCATGATTTGTCAAAACACTATTCTGGTTGGGCCTATAAATAGGACAAAATGAGACAGAAAGCAGGGGTGGCCTGGAGGCCACTTCTAGATCAAACAAAAGAAGAAATATGTCATGTCTAGTTCTGGAAGCAAGGTCAGAGCCATGAAATTAATAATGACAGAGGTGAATATGTCAAAGGGAATTTGGGAGACAATAGGCAGGGTCTTGGGAGTGACAATCAGTGACTGAAGGAAAGGGAAGCTAAAGTTGCCAAATGTTGAGGGGGCAGCTGAGGCAGGAGTCAGGAACTCTAAAATTAGGTCCTAACAAAGGAAATGAGGATTGGAAGAAGATACATTCTCTGTTCTCTGCTCTTGGATCCCAGGATCTCCTCTGTGTAGACGGATGGCTCCCGAGTCTACTACATCTCTGGCTCTGACTTTTTTCCTTAGAGTAATTCCTTCAAATCACATTGTACTTTATACTGTGCAATATAAATGAAAACATTTCTGTAAGATGCAAACAGAAAGGGAAGGAAGTAGATGTCCTGGTTTTAACCAGTCAGAGGAGCAGAAACCTGGCTGGTTAAGACCACTACAAATTCATGCCATGTTCAAGGCCCTCACTGCTTGTTGTGTTATGTTCTCTGTGTGCAGATTGGGCTGTTTGTTTGCTGTTAGTGAGTGATATTGACATACCTTTCTTTTCTTTCTTTTTTTTTAAGCTTATTTATTTATTTTTAGAGAGAGAGGGAGGGAGGGAGAGTGAGCATGAGTAGGTAGGGGCAGAGAGAGTGGGAGAGAGAATTTCAAGCAGGCTCCACGCTGACACAGCGCAGAGCCTGACACAGGGCTCGAACTCACGAACTGTGAGATCATGTATGACCTGAGCCGAAATCAAGAATCAGAGGCTTAACCAAATGGGCCACCCAGGTGCCCCAACACAACTTTCTAAGTGATCTGTAACTTCTTTTTTTTTTTTTATTTATTTATTTCTAGGAGAGAGAGAGAGAGAGACAGTGTGAGCAGGGGAGGGTCAGAGAGAGAGGGAGTGACAGACTGAAACAGGCTCCAGGCTCTGAGCTGGCAGTCAGCACAGAGCCCGATGCGAGGCTCGAACCCACGAACCGCTAGATCATGACCTAAGCGAAAGTCGGACGCTTAACCGACTAAGCCACCCAGGCGCCCCTAAGTGATCTCTAACTTCTAACTGCCTAATTTTTGTCAGGTTTTAAAGATTAGAAGCTTACTTGCAATTTTAAATTTTGGAAAGAACGAAAATGGCTAGTTTGGGAAGCTTAGATGCTGTACAATGCTTCCCATGGTGCAACAGATGAAGTAGATGATTTTAAGCAGGACACAAACATTTTGTATGTATTTCTTTTAGTGACTATGAGAATAAAATATAATTAATACACTAAACTCAATTTTCACCAATGTTACTGATTAGAAAGAAGGTAAGTTTTTAAAGTAAGCTGAGTTAAAATTGACACCTAATATAATTGTAATTATATAACTGGCCAGGTGGCCCACAGATGCACTGTGAAAGCGACCGTTACATGACTGTGGCTTCTCTACCACTTGGAGGTCTTGACATCTTTCTCTTGGGGTATTTTAAGTCCCAACAGAGGAAGAAACAGAGACAATTATTTAGGATTTGCCAAGAAAAGGGAACCAGACCCTCAATGTTGTAATAGAATAGGGCTTACTTCTTGTTTTTGGTCTCTTTGTAGGACATGTTTCATGGGTCAATTTTGTACTTAACAAGTATCAAGTCTCAGCCAGATTTTCAGTTTATTAACATATTCCGAGATAATATCAGCCTTTCCATTTTGAGACCAAATTTTTCAAATTACTTATGGATCAGGATGAGTCTCTGGTTCATGTAACAAAGCAACACAATTATATGATTTAGAGGGTGTTTTTTTGTTGTTTTTTTTTAAACTAATCTCTACACCCAACATGGGACTAGAACTCACAACCCCAAGATCAAGAGTCCCATGCTCTACTGACTGAGCCAGCCAGGCATCCCTGACTTTGGTTTCTGTTTTTGTTGTTTTTGTCTTGCTGAACTCACAGTCCAGGCTCAAGTGGACCAACTGGACACTCAATGTTTAGGTGTCCATGTGTATACCATTTGTCATTTGGTTCATAGTACCTAATGTTGTTATCTATCCCCTTACCTATATAACTTTGTTTCCACTCCTTAAGTGTAAGCCCTAAGGGAAGAAACCATGTCTTAGTCTCTCTTTCTTTTGGAGTGGGGAGGGACTTCAGTACCAGTATAATAGCTTGTTAAAGTAGGTGTTGGGGCACCTCGGTGGGTCAGTTGGTTAAGCTTCTGACTTCAGTTCAGGTCATGATCTCACGGGGGTTTGTGCCCCGTGTCGGCCTCTGTGTTGACAGCTCAGAGCCTGGAGCCTGCTTTGGATTCTGTGTCAGCACAGAGCTGTCAGCACGGGCTCGAACCCACGAACTGTGAGATCATGACCTGAGCCAAAGTCAGACACTTAACCAACTGAGCCACCCAGGCGCCCCCAGTGCTTTTTAAACTCTATTTCATGGATGTATAAGATGAAGGCTGGGGAAAGATATCAGTTCAATGTATGCTTTCTCTTTGCTAATAGAAAAAGCAAAATACAATACACCATGGGAAAGACACTGTTGTAAGAATTACACAGCAGCCAGAGAGAGGAGAGGCTCCTGACCTCCACGGCCAGCATTATATAGGCAATGATGAGCTGGGTGTGGGCCCAGGTGACAGTTCTATAGAGCAGCTGCATTGGCCAGGATCTGATAGACAAGTTGGCAAAGGTGTGGATCAGGTAATCAGCTTCCACCATCAGAGCCCAGCAGAGGAAACCAAACACCTGTCCTGGGTGGAGTCCATGCCACCAGGCGGAGAAGGCGAACGTCTGCAGCAACGGGCGGGCCCCGCCCCGCTGGAATATGAGGCGTCGGAGCCACCCAGCTGTGCTTTGGTTCCACTTTCTTGTGAACAGGGATATCCTGTGGGTTGTTTCCAGTGTCCAAATGTCCGCATCGGGGACGTATCCCCCCGCAGCAGGGCTCTGACCAAGTTCAGGTCCAAAGCCTGCTGCATGGAGGAGGGCATCATCCAGGAGCCAGCAGGAGTAGTAGGTGAGTTTGAAGAGCCCGGCCGTGGACCACATGACACAGATGCACTGGAGCTGCCGGCAGTCAGTCAGACCCGCTCCTGCACCCACCACCATCCTCAGGACCACTTTTAGGCACTCGAGGCCCAGGATCTGCAGACCCCTCCAGGTCAGAGCCCAGACAGAGCGCCTGAGACCCACACTGCTCGGCCCTTGAACACGAGCTTGAAATCTCTGGAAGGAACACAGGGAGCCTCCTAGGAGAGCAGGGAAAAAGAGCAAGTAGCTGAAATAGGGCAGTGTCTTCCACAGATGCTCAGGAACGGAGCTTCTGCCCCTGATGCCTCTTGATGCTGCCTTCACTTTTCCCTCACAAATGTCCAGAGAGAGGGATGTGACCCTCTGGGTCAAGAGCATGAGGGAGGAAAGAGTGATGCAGAACCTGAAAGAGATGTATTTAAATGTAAAAACGCTCCCCATATTTATTTCATCCCAGTCCGGTCCCTCACACGTGACCCCACAGCACATAGTAGCTCTGAATGATGAAGACGGGTGGCCTGGCCTGCAGAGACCCCACAAAGACTGTTGGATTAATTCAGGCCACAGGCTACTCTGGGCAGGATCAAGAGGTAAATGTGGAAATCGAGGATCCTGGGTGGCTCAGTCAGTTAAGTGTCCAACTGGGCTCAGGTCATGATCTCACAGTTCAGGAGTTTGAGCCTCCTGTCGGGCTCTGTGCTGACATCTCAGAGCCTGGAGCCTCCTTCAGATTCTGTGTCTCCTCCTCCTCTCTCTGCCTCTCCCCTGCTCATGCTCTATCTCTCTCTATCTCTCAATAATAAAAATGTTAAAAAATTTTTATAAAAAAAAAGAATGACAAGGAATATTATAGGGAAATATTGATTATAATATTTCTAAGAATAGCCTATACAGATTAGGATCAAGGACCTGGGAGAAATTTGCCATGGAAGAAACAAAAATTTAGTATTGAAGAGACTACAGGGAGACATAGATTTTAAATATGAACTGGTCCCTGCTAGTAAGATTCTGCAGGCTGTGGCTTCTGTGCTGAGGAACAGTGAGCCAAGCTAAGGGTTCAGGCCGTGCACTGAGTCACTAGCAATTTGAGGTGTGTTCTTAACCAGTCACCTGAAGCGCTCCAGCTTCAGTGTCACAAGGCAGAGAAGATCCTACTGGCAAGGTTATTACGGAGAAAATTAATGAAAATTATATGACGCACTCTGCAATCAGGGATGCTGTCCTGTGGAGTGCCAATGGCACTATTTCCCAAGTGCTGCTGTTTCTTTCTGTGAGTCTGAGGATTTAAGGACGACTGACCTCATCTGACATGTCCCAACAGTAAGGAAAGTTGCCTCCAGATGCCACCAACCCCTGTTCACACTCCTTTTGTGGGTGGAATGTGTTCCCCCCAAATTTATAGGTTGAAGCTCCAACTCCCAGTACCTCAGAATGTGACCGTATTTGGAGATGGGGTGTTTAAGTTAAAATGAGGGCATCAGGGCACCTGCGTTAAGGTTTGACTTCAACTCAGGTCATGATCTCATGGTTTGTGGGTTTAAGCCCCATGTCTGGCTCTGTCCTGAAAGCTCAGAGCCTGGAGCCTGCTTCGGATTCTAGTTCTCTCTGCCCTTCCCCCATTCACACTCTGTCTCTCTCTCAAAAATAAGTAAACATTAAAAAAATTTTTTAAATGAGGTCATTGGGGTAAACCCTAATTGAATATGACTGATGTCCTTATCAGAAGAGGAAATTAGGGCACAGACACAGAGAGAAGACCAGACAAGGAAACAGGGGGAAACAGTCATCTACAAGCCAAGGAGGGAGGCCTCAGAAGAAGCTGAACCTGCCAACACCTTGATCTTGAACTTCCCAGAGGAAGTAAGTTTCTGTTGTGTGAGGCCACCCAGTCTTCAGTACTTTGTTATGACAGCCAGAGCAAATTAGAACACCTTCCCATTTCAGCTTTGGCTCAGCCTTCCTCCCATCCACCAGATTCTGTTTAACTTGCCCCTCTGGCCCCTATCAGGTCCCACTTCCTACGGAAATGCTAATTCACCGCACCCGAGTCAGTACTCCCCACCCCCTACAGGCTGCCATCATCTTCTGGGAAGCAAACCCTAAAGCCTTTGGTGAAGACAGTGAGGACAAAGGAAAGGATTCTGGGTGTGGCAGGGATGACAAAATGAGTGAACCAATGGCAAGCTGGAATCAGACAGGTGACCTGCCTCGACAGGTCACAGCCCCTCTTCTCTTAGTGACCATTTACCCACGCCACCTGTGATAACGTAGGGAGCCAGGGACCACAGGCCTCAAGAATACAGGCATACCTGTATATAGACATAGCTCTAATCTTAGTGATCTCACGGACTCACGAAAATACTTCTTTAGACTGTAGTTAGTTCTTTTTCCTACACTGGGTGACCACCCTTCTGGGAGGATGGAATAGCTGAGTCGCAATGAAAGTAAAACTCTCGGGGGCAACTGTGTGGCTCAGTCCGACTCTTAATTTCAGCTCGGGTCATGATCTCATGGTTTGTGAGTTCAAGCCCTGCATTGGGCTCTGCGCTGACAGTGTGGAGCCTGCTTGGGATTCTCTCTCCCTCTCTTTGCCCCTCCCCTGCTCGTGTGCTCTCTCTCTCTCTCTCTCAAAATAAATAAATACACATAAAAAGAAAAAAAGCAAAACTCTTGCACGGCAGCTTTGATGGGAAGGTAGCAAAGGTTCACAGTGGGTTGATATCTTCCTGGTCCCGCTAAAGCGGAGGAGAGGCTGCTGGCCATGTGTCTAAACCACCCACTCTCAGTTCAGCAAACTGTGCTTAGTCACTTCCAGGCAGGCCTCGTCCGTGGGCCCTGGGACCCCTGGTTCAACGTCCTTTCAGGCACAGTTAAGAACAGCTAAGTGCCAGACACTGGGCTACATAGGCAACACATGGTAGTTATTTATCGTCGTATAATTACGTTTATATGCATTATCTCTAACATAAAAGGTATACATTCATATACATACACACACACATACATATACACATACGCTCACACTTATTTTTTTAGGAAAAGAAATGGAGGCTGAGAGGTTAAATGACTGGCTTAAGGTCACACTGCTCAAATGTGCAAGAATTGGGATTCAAACTCAGCACTCGGGGGCTCTCCACGCCCACCATGGCACAAGCCAAGCCTCGGCTGGTTTTAGTACAAGCCAAGCGAACAGGCTGCTTTACCTCACGGAAGGACGTTCTTGCAGGTAATATTCAGTATAGTGCAGGCCCAGGTGGCAGAGCGTCTGCCAGCTCATCTGAAAGCCGAACGCCCACCTGTGGACATCCTGGGGGCCGAGAGAGGAAATCAGAAGCCCGGCGCCCAGAGCAGGGACCAGGACAAGCATGGCGAAGGAACCCATGGCAGCCCAGGCCAGGGCCGCACCTCCGGCCAGGAGCAAGAGGTACCTGGAAGAAGAATT